GGAGTCTCACTCTTGTCACCCAGGCTGGAGTGCACTGGCGCGATCTCTGCTCACTGCAACCTCTGCCTCCCAGGTTCAAGCAATTCTCCTGCCTTAGCCTCCTGAGTAGCTGGGATTATAGGCACGCATCACCACACCTGGCTAATTTTTGTATTTTTTATTAGAGACAGTGTTTCACCATGTTGGTCGGGCTGGTCTCTAACTTCTGACCTTGTGATCCGCCTGCTTCGACCTCCCAAAGTGTTGGGATTACAGGCTTGAACCACTGTGCCTAGCCTCAGATATGATAACGTTTTAGGACAACCTGTTGACTCTGTAGATAGACTGAGAGGTATGCACAAAAGCGCCCGACCACCTGAAGAACTGGGTCCTGAGTTCTGTTGCTAGTGAGGAAAATCTATTTTATTTCCTGAAAAATTTTCCAATCTTTTGAAAGCTTGTAGAAAGCACTCAAGAAATGTTCATAGAATTGGGTCAAAGAGATGAACTGACTTGCCCGAGACCATACAGCTCAAAGTTGATGATGCTGGGACCCACGCCTAGGCCAAGCCCAAAGCCAGGCTCCAGGCCGCTGTGACATGGGCTTCCCCATGGAACCTGAGCAGAGGGACACCAGCCTCAGGCCCACGCATGCCTCTCCAGCTGCCCTCCCAAGCACGAGGACACCACATCACTGTATTCAGACAGCTCCGGAGGCTGGGGCTGGGTCCAAGGCAGGGCTGTAGGGCCCCAAGTACTCCACACTCCTCACGCCCATCCCCTCCTCTGCACATTCATCCTGGGACCCTGAACAAGTCCCAAGGGCTGTGGGCCTCAGTTTCCTTGTCTGTCCAATGGGAGAAAAGTTCTGGGGCCCCTCACCCAGGGCAGGTCTGGGCACAGCTGAGGTCAGCCAGGGTGGGAGTCTCCAGGCCACTCCTGCCCTTGACCGGCTGGTACCAGTCACAGGCCACTTGGATGCCTTCCCTCTCTGAATGATGACACAGTGGTACAAATAATGAGATCTAACATTTATTAAACACTTGCGTCACACCATTTTCACTCCTAATACCTGAGTCAGGTACTATTATGGTCCCTATTTTCAGAGGAGGAAGCTGAGGCATAGTGAGGTTAAGAGCTAGTGTCTCTTACACAGCCAGTTACAGAGCGCATAGGGGACTTCAACCAAGGCTCACTGACTCCAGAGCCAGTTTAGAGACGTAGTGTGAGAGCAGGAATTCCCTGAGGTGAGAGGCCCTGTAGGTACTGCAGTTTTGGTCTATTTCTGGCCAACAGGGGAAGGCAGTGACATCCTCGGGGCAATTTCTCTGGCTTCCTCATCTGGAAGGCTCAGCTTTGTGAAAACAAGAAATAGATTTGCAAGCTGGACAAGTGTGACTTCAGCCCTGATATGGTTTGCAAATCTCACCTTGAATTGTAATAATCCCCACATGTCAAGAGCCAGGCCAGGTGGAGATACTTGAATCCTGGGGGTGGTTCCCCATATTGTTCTGGTGATGCTGAATAGGTCTCGAGATCTGATGGTTTTATAAATCGGAGTTCCCCAGCAAGGGCTATCTCTTGCCTGCCACCATGTAAGATGTGACTTTGCCTCTCATTTGCCTCTGCAGTGATGATGAGGCCTTCTCAGCCATGTGGAACTGTGAGTCCATTAAACCTCTCACCTTTATAAATTACCGAGTCTCTGATACGTCTTTATTAGCAGTATGAAAACAGACTAACACAAGCCCTCTCCAGCAGGAGACCAGAGGCAAGAGGAATTTGCTTCCTGTAATTGACAGCTCTAGAATGTCAGACACTATATAAACCTGCAGGGTGTGCTACTTCCAAGTCCCTATAGACACAGGGCTTTTAAAAGTTACATAAGAGGTGAAGGCTGCAGTGGGCCGAGATTGTGCCACTGCACTGCAGCCTGGTGACAGAGCGAGAAAAATAAAAAAAGGTTCCATGGTGGTGAGAATGTTTGGTTGGAAAACCTCATTAGCACAGTGCAGCCCATTCACAGCTGAAGTCCTGGCCTTGTCCTGGACCTGCCCTTCCACCTCCTCCCTCCTGGTTAGTGGCAGCTCCAGCCTTCCATCAGGACCACGCCTTGCAGCCCCTGGCTCCTCTCTGCCTCCTCCATCCAGCCCATCGAAGGTCCTGCGGCTCTGCCTTCTGAGAGTGCCCAAGAGTTGATCATTTGTCACCACCCCCACCTCTACCCCCATCCAAGTCACCAACATGATACTTTTAGAATGCAGGCCAGGCATGATGGCTCACACTTGTAATCCCAGCACTTTGGGAGGCCGAGGTGGGCAGGTCACCTGAGGCCAAGAGTTCAAGACCAGCCTGGCTAACATGGTGATCCTCATCTCTATTAAAAATACAAAAATTAGCTGGGTGCAGTGGCTCATGCCTATAATCCCAGCACTTTGGGAGGCCAAGGCGGGTGGATCATGAGGTCAAGAGATAGAGACCATCCTGGTCAATATGGTGAAACCCCGTCTCTACTAAAAATACAAAAATTAGCTGGGCATGGTGGCGCATGCCTATAGTCCCAGCTACTCGGGAGGCAGAGGCAAGAGAATTGCTTGAACCCAGGAGGCGGAGGCTGCGGTGAGCCGAGATCGCGCCATTGCACTCCAGCCTGGGTAACGAGAGCGAAACTCCATCTCAAACAAAACAAAACAAAAATTAGCCAGGCATGGTGATGGGCACCTGCAATCCCCACTATTCAGGAGGCTGAGGCAGAAGAATAGCTTGAACCCGGGCCGGGGAGGCTGCAGTGAGCCAAGGTCACACCATTGTACTCTAGCCCACATATCGAGGGAAACCGTCTCAAAACAAAAAGAGTGTAAGGCAGACCTTATCCCACTCTGCCCAACACCCTCCAGGGCTCCCTTCTCATCCAGCCAGAGCTGGGGTCCTCAGAATGACCTGCTAAGCCTGCACATCTGGCCCTGGCCACCTTCTGACCTCATGGTCTTCTTCCCTCCCCCTCCTGCCCTCTGCTCAGCCACTCTTGCCTCGGGCCTTGTTAGCTGTCTTGCTGCCTAGAATGTCTCATGCTAAATGGAATGCCCCAGTGACTTTTCCCACACCCTGGCATCCCCTGCCTCTGGAATACAGCCTCACTCACAGTGGGCTCTGCGGTGTTTGTTGTATGTTAGAAGCTCTCCCTTTGGTGCCTGCTGTGTGGAAGGGGCAGCCGCATGGGTGCCTGCCTCCCTATTTGTCTGCCTCTGATGGCTCTCCGGGTCCCAAATGTCTGCATGGTCAGGGGTCATGGTGCCTGCAAATCTAAGTCACCCTCTCCCACTCCCTGAGCGGCTCCTGACCAATGACTGGAAAACCCAGCTCCCTCGCTTTCATCACAGGCTCTGCTTCTGGGGCACCCCAAGACAGAAGCTTTCCTCTATCCTCTCCCCCAAAGAGCCAGCTCAACCTGGGGATCTGGGATGATGAGGAACTGAGATCTCTAGATATACTCTCCCCTCTGGGTGGTCCAGGTTCCATCATCTGCTCCCCATTGCCTGGGCCAAGCCCCTTCCCCGGCTTCTCATTCATTCCCTTCAGGAATCTGACACGTTCACGATGCTGGCACTCAGCAAGACTTCCCAGGGCCAGGAAGCCGCGTACGCAACAGATATGGGCTTGGGTCTTAGTCCTATTCCCCTCAGGCCACACCCCTCCTCCACCCAGGTTGGCTTCAGTCATCAACTTGACAGGTGTCCTTCTAGTCCCTGCTTTGCTATTTTACTGCACATACATCAAGGAACAACACACACCAAAGCTGTGAGGTCTGAAAATTCATCCCAATGCCATTCTGCAATCTGCTTTGTTCATACTTGTGGGGACCATCGTTGGTAGAAATAGGTCTGGCTTATCTGCTGTAACTGCTGCACCGGGTTCCATACGATGAACAGACTGTGGCTTACTGGTCCATACTCCTTATAATGAATGGACTGTGGCTTACTGCACTGTACTCCACATGATGAATGGACCGTGGCTTACTGGTGGGTACTCCCTATAATGAATGGACTGTGGCTTACAGTGGACCTTGGCTTACTAGTCCATATTCCCTGTAGTAAAGGGACCGTGGCTTACTGGTCCGTGCTCCCTCTAATGAATGGACCGTGGCTTACTAGTCCATCTCCTGACAGCGAGGCTGTTTCCAGTTTCTCACAACTGCTGCTGCTCGGCAGCCCTCAGAGCATAGCCCCTTCCCCACAGCAGCCTTCCTTCCGGGCCCAGAGGCCCATGTCCCCTTCTTTTGGGGCTCTTGCCTCGTCTGTCATCCTCCAGGTGGGAAGACTCCTAGGTCGAGAGAGCAGGCTCCAAAGGTCACCACTGCAGCCCCCAGCCCGCTTGGCACCAGGCAGGTACTCAGCCTCTTTTGATTGACAAATGGACACAAGTGAATGATGGGGGCTGTGCACTAGGCCTTGACCCTGTGCCCGGGACAAGCCAGGATGCCCGGGAAGGTCCTGGCACTTGGGGCCCAGGGGGAAGAAGAGCAAGCTGTGGAGAGCCAGACCTGTCAGTGGGGAAGGTCCGGGCCCTGGGGAGCTTCTGGATGATTCAGCCCAAGTCAGCTGTGACCAGACACAAGGGCTGCCAGGAAGGGGTCGCCCCTGCCACCTAACCCAGCATGATCACAGGCTCGAGGAGCAAGTCCACTAACAACTTCGCCATCACTTAGGGAGCCCTCCTCATGCCAGGCGCTTTATACCTGGAGCAGGCACCCACCCTTTCTAGAAGACACTGAAGGCACGCAGCTAGTAAGTGGCAGAGTAGGATTCATATCAGTGCTTGGGTCATCTGGTTCAGAGAAATGGATGCCACACACCACACCCAGCAGTGTCTCTCTGCTGTGGCCTCTGCTAGGCCAGAGCCAGGCAGAAGCCCAGCTCAGCCAACGAACATGCCCATTTCCTCCTGCCACAACAGAATGGGGTGGCCCAGCGCAGGCTCCACCTGGGAATTGGCAGGAGAAATCTTCCCAGGAACAAGGCCGGTCCCCACCCCAGCCAGGAGACTGAAAGTGGCTCAAAACACAGCCCATCTACAGAACTCCCCAAACTTTAATGCTGTGGCTCTGAAAGGGAGGCTGGAGGCTGTGGTGTGTCAGTGTTGCTGATGCCTCTGGCCTCCAGCCCTGGGTAGCTAGGAACCACGTGACCAGGCAGTGAGACGCACAGGACTTCACTCCCATGCCAGACTGCTCCTGGGGCCTGAGCAGACCTGAAGCTCTCAGGGCTTCCCCCAAAGCCCGACAAACAGGCATCACCAGGACTTAAAGGCCTGAGCCTGCCACAGTCAGGCAGGACTCGGCTGGGGGCCTCTGTGGTGCCATGATGGGGTAGGAGATGAAGAAAGATCTTCATTCCAGCCCGGGAACCAGCGGGTGCCCTGAAGGGAGGGAGGCCTCCGGGAGTTTGGGACAGGAGTGTGGGTGGCACTAGGTGGCCCATGGGGGCTCCTGGCCTCTCAGGGTACTTGGTTCAGGTAACCTGTGAGCTGGAGACACATTCCATCTTAGGTCCCAGAGATGGAGGTCAGGAACATCCCTAGAACCTGGGGTGGGGCCGGGTGCAGCGTGGCTGGCTTCAGTACCCTCGGGCATCTTGACCCCTGCCCTCTGGGACTGCAAAGGGATCTGCGGGTGTCTCTGGTGAATCAATCGTCTGGTAGGCACTACGGTCCTGAGAAGATCCAAGGAAACCTGGGTGGCAGGGGACATGATGGGAAAGAAAAGTGAATGGGGAGAACTCGAGACGTTCTGCTGAGTCCAACGCAAGATCCACCCCTGCCACCCTGTGGCTGGGCATCTTGACACCACCAGAGATAGAGGCAGCAGCCCCAGGCACTAAGCTTTTAGCATGTATCATTATTCAATCCTCCTGTACCCCTGTGCAGCGGGTATCATCCTCACTTTGCAGATGAGGAAACTGTGGGTCAAAGAGATGAATGACTTGCTGAGATCACACAGCTGGAAGCGATGATGCTGGGACCCACACCTAGGCAGCCAAGCCAAAGCCAGGCTCCAGGCCACTGTGCCATGGGGTGGTTCCTCAGGCAGCACGTGCTCAGGAACCTGGGCAGAGGGACACCAGCCCCGGGCCCACATGCTCCTCTTCAGCTCCCCTCTCAGGCAGGAGGACGCCACATTACTGTATTCAGACGGCCTCGAAGGCTGGGGCTGAGTCCAAGGCAGGACCCTAGGCTCCAAGCACCTCACACTCCTCATGCTCATCCCCTCCTCTGCACATTCATCCTGGGAACTTGAGCATGTCCCAAGGGCTGTGGGCCTCAGTTTCCTCATCTGTCCAAGGGGAGATATTCTGGCGTCCATTCCCTGGGGGCAGCCCCAGGCCATTCTTACCCTCGACCAGCTGGTGGCAGTCATAGGCCACCTGGGGCCTCTCTTCTCAGGAGTGAAAGGTAGAAGGCCACACCCCACCACCTCCCTCCACTCCTCTCAAAGAGAGAGAAAGGAGGAGAGACAGAGGTGTCAGAGAGCAGGCAAACGGCTCAGCCACCAGCAGAAGGGGTACAGGAGTTCAGAGAGGGCGTGGGAGAGGGCGGGGTGGGGGTGAGGCTGGGCGAGTGGGGCGGGGCTGGTGGGTGGGGAGAGTGCCCACAGTTCAGGGCCGTCTTCGCTGAGGCTCCCACAGCCTACGCTAGAGCAGACTCTCCTTGGCTACCTAGCACAATCTCTGCCGCAGGAGAGGAAAGACCCCACGTGGCAGGAAATGGGGTTCCAGTGTCGGGGCCCGGTGGGAACAGAGAGGAGACCTGTAGGTGCCCGTGGCCCTCACGCTGGAGACAGCCCAGGGCTGCCCCTGGGAACTAAATGGCACCCCCAGCTGTGCCTGTGCTCTAGGCTGTGAGAAGGGCCCAGCCTTAGCCTCACAGCAGGGGAAGGTCACAGCAGACCAGGACAGCCAGGGGACCCCTGGGCTCCTGCAGCAGAGACCAGGAGCTTGGGCTCATCCAGCCTGGTACAGAGTGCCCATGCCATGCTCTCCCTGCACCTTGAGCGCTGGCCCCATGGGGCAAGGCCGGCTCACTGGGGGAGAGGCTGGGGGCCAGGCAAGGGAGAGAAGGGAGTGGTGGGGAGCTGGCCGGAGGTGGTGGCCTCACCAGTGTGGACCAGGAGCTCACCCCCGCGCTCCCGGTACATGTGGTAGATGAAGCAGCAGGACAGCGGCTTGAGCAGCAAGCTGAGGATGGCCATGCCCGCGCCAAAGCGGACCGTGTCCGTGAGATTTCCCCGCGGGTAGAAGATGCTGATGTGCACGATGTCCAGGAAGATGGTGGCCAGCAAGCCACACAGAAACTGCAAGACACACGCACTGATGAGCACAAGAGCCCTGCCACGCCCTGTGGCTCCCCACCATGTACCAGATGGGAAGCTGTTTCATGCCCTACTGTGTCCTTGGGGCTTGCTGGAAAACCAAGCAAGCAAGCAGGCAGGACCCGTTGGGGAGCCGCTGGCTGAGACTGCAGTCTGGGGGCAAGGACGCAGGGGGCCCAGGTCTCGGTTCCACAGAGCCTCCCTCCCCCCCCCATTTTCCATCACCTCCAAGACCCATGATGAGCACAAGACTTGGCTCTAGAACCTCCATAAAGGAAGGTTCCTTGGAGTTTACCCAGTCTGTCTCCAACACAAAGAAAATTCCTTCTCAGGGCTAGGCACGGTGGCTCATGCCTGTAATCCCAGCACTTTGGGAGGCTGAGGCAGGTGGATCATGAGGTCAGGAGTTCGAGACCAGCCTGGCCAATAAGGTGAAACCTCATCTCTACTAAAAACCCAAAAAATTGGCCGCACATAATGGCACATGCCTGTAGTCTCAGCTGCTTGGGAGGCTGAGGCAGAAGAATTGCTTGAACCTAGCAGGCGAAGGTTGCAGTGAGCTGAGATTGCACCACTGCACTCTAGCCTTGGTGACAGAGCGAGACTCCGTCTCAAAAAAAAAAAAAAAAGAAAAAGAAAATCCCTTCTCATTCCTCAGTCACCCCAAGCCCTGGCCAAGGCTTGAAGAGCCGGTGTGGGGCGCACGCTGCCCCATGGGGCTTGCTGGGTTACCTCTCCTTCCTAAAGTAGTGGTGTGCCCTCTTGGCCGGGTCTCCCAGCCATGTCCCCTCCCCTAAAAGAGAGCCCCAGAGGCAGGTTACAGGGGATGATCCATTGCTCTTGCAGAGTGGCCAATCTGGGGCACTGGTGGGACCCACCCCATGGCTTTCCTAGGGGAGATAATGGCAGACCTGGGCTTCTCTAAGCCAGACAAGAAGAGCAGCATGCTGGCTCCCAAGACAGGCATGGGCTCACGCCCAGGAGGCTGAAGAATAAGGCATTAGACAATGCGCAGTGGCGGCCCCAGGAAGAGAGGGAAGATTGGACGGGACAGGGAGGCAGAGCCAGGCTGTGTCTCGCCCTGTGCTGCGGCCCCCATCCTGCCGCCTCTACCCCACCCCAGCTCACCATGCTTATGGCGTCAATGGAGTCCCGCTGAGCCACAGCCCACACGCCCAAAGCCAGGATGGTGAAGTTGGCCCAGGCATAGGAGCCCGAGAACACGATGCAGCCCCTGTTGGAAGAGGCAGCTCAGTCCCGTCAGGCAGCCACCCACCCGCAGGTCACCTCCCTCCTGTGCTGGGGGTCTCAGGGCCTCCTCCCAGAACAGACCTTAGTCTTTGAGACCACTTGGCTGTGCGCCAGCAAATCCCATGGGCTCGTCTCCCACCCAGACCCTGGATCTGGCTGTGTCCCTGCAGGCCCCAAGCACCTCCCTTTCCTGCCAGATAACAGCCTCCTGACTGCCACTCTGTTCTCTAAATAGCAACCGGTAGTGTAGTCAGATGCTGTCACTCCTCTGCTAAAAATCCTCCAACAGTTTTCCATCCCATTTGGAATAAAACGCAGACTCTTCACCAAGGTTTAAGGGGCCTGTGGGACCCCGGACACAGCCCCGCCCTCCCTGACCTCCCAGCCACAGCCCTGTGCAGTGGGTGCCCTCTACCCTGACACTTGGCCCCTTTTGTCACTGAGCGGTAGCTCTAATATTCACTCTGAAACTCCTTCCCTCACCCACCAATGCTAAGTAGGACCTTGTCACTTTCCTAACACAAGGCCCACCCTATTCTACCTTTTAGGGTATTGCTACTAACTGACATTGTTGACTGATTTGTTCGCTGGTCAATCCAATCAAAAACACAGAGCACTTGCTAGTACCTGGCACGGTTCTACTATTTTTTTTTTTTTTTTTTTTGACGGAGTTTCGCTCTGTCAGCCAGGCTGGAGTGCAGTGGCAAGATCTCGGCTCACAACAACGTTGCTCTGCCTCCCGGGTTCGAGCGATTCTTCTGCCTCAGCCTCCTGAGTAGCTAGCATTAGAGGCGTACACCACCACGCCAGCTAATTGTTGTATTTTTAATAGAAGACGGGGTTTCACCATCTTGGCCAGGATGGTCTCGAACTTCTGACCTCGTGATCCACTCGCCTCGCCCTCCCAAAGTGCTGGGATTACAGGCGTGAGCCACTGTGCCTGGCTGGTTCTAACTGCTTTAAATTAACTCATTTATGTGCATTTATGTTAACAACCCTAGGCAGGAAGTATTATTGTTATCCTCACTTTGTAGATGAGGAAACTGAGGCACACAGAGGTTAAGTAACTTGCCCAAGCTCACATGGCTGCTGAGCAGTGAGGCTGGAATTTGGCGTCTGGCTGGAGAGGCCATGCTCTTGTCACCCTGCTGTGTTGCAAAGAAGACCCAGAAGGACAGGGACTGAGTCTACCTCATTTATTACCAAACCCACTGGGCCTTGCCTGCCGCTGCATGCAGCGACCACTTCCTAGATTTATATGACATTCACTGAAGGGCACTATGCAGAAGACGTGTGCAAGGCAGGTTTTTAGTGTCACTGGATTCAATAGGTCTTTGAATAAACCATCTTATCTTTTGCTTTTAAGAAAGCAGGTTCACATGCTAGACTGTAGGAAAAGATTTAAAAAAAGAAAGAAAGAAAGAAAGAAAAAAGCAGGTGCTATCAGGCACGGTGGCTCATGCCTGTAATCCCAGCACTGTGGGAGGCCGACGTGGGTGTATCACCTGAGGTCAGGTGTTCGAGACCAGCCTGGCCAACATGGTGAAACCCTGTCTGTACTAAAAATACAAAAATTAGTTGAGCATGGTGGCGCATGCCTGCAGTCCCAGCTACTCAGTAGGCTCAGGCAGGCGGATTCACTTGAATCCAGGAGGCAGAGGTTGCAGTGAGCTGAGATTGTGCCACTACACTCCAGCCTGGGTGACAGGGCCAGGCTCCGTCTCAAAAAAAAAAAAA